CCTGCCCAGCCAGAGCTGGCCTCTGTCTTTGTCCCCACCGGACTCAAACGTCCCTGCTTCTCAGGGAGACTTACCCACAAGGTCTCCGCCAGCAGCTTCTCAGAGCCTGGGAGCTTCAGGGTTTTTAACCAGAAAGCCCAGGACAGGGGACAGAACCAGGCACACGCTGGTTGAGACGATTCCCTTCTCATCTGTCCTCACTAGGGAGCCAAGTAACCCAACTGAGTAAAATTCGCAATAATTGAAATTAGCCCTTGTAGTGACACAATTCTTTTTTAAATATATAAATGTTTTTATTGATTGGAGAGGGAGATAGAAACATTGATGACAGAGAAGCATCGATCATCTGCCTCCTGCACTGAGATCGAGCCCGCACCCCAGGCATGCACCCTGACCGGGAATTGAACCGGCGGCCTCTTGGTGCACAGGGCGACGCTCGACCACTGAGCCACACCGGCCAGGCAGGCACAATTTTTCTTTTAAACGACTCCAGGAGAAGCAAAGTTATGCACATAGGTATCGAATGGAATCTGATAAGCTGGTTCTGTACTTAGAAGTTATCGACAGCATTTTATCTCATGGAAATTCTTCTCGAGGGCCTCAGCCACGTCCGTGACCGAGGTCCTCCTGATGCTGTGACGGGCCGTGATGACGGGGCTGTCCCAAGCTGCTGTAGCTGGCAATTGCCTGTCTCTTGCTGGGCAGCGGGGTCCCTGTGCTGTCAGGTGTGCTATGTGTTACCTGTCACCCCTGTTCCCAGGTCTCTTTCCAATGCCCCCTCTTTTAATGTATTTCTAAGGCAGTCAGAGCTGCGAGTAAACTAAGAGTCAATAGTACACACATTTCGGTGCGTGGACTTTGCAAATCCTCTTTGGTTTGCTCGTGGAGTCTTTTTATTTTTAACGGTCTTGCTCTTGCCTTTGCTCTAGATAACTCGGGCCCCCAACTGAGTGCTTTTTGTGGGTTCATCCTTGGGTCCTGCATGTAAACGTTTATTTGCTACATATCTGTTAATACAACCGGAACACGTCCTAAGCCTGATATTTATCTTTGTATTCCAACACTGGCTTTTATTAAGCCCAACACGAAAAATAGATGTTTTGGAAGAGGCTGGGGGAGGGGGCTGGGGGCATGCGTCAGGGGTTCTGGTGAGATCCTTGTATAAAGCCAGCTCCTGGGCGGTCTAGCCGGGGGGTTGCCGCAGGAAAGAGCCAGAAGGCCGTCAGCAGATTGCTGGGCACTTAATGTATATAAACTTATTTAACCTTCCCCCAAATTCGATGAGAGGATAGGATTTAACTGACACCCTCACTTAGCTGTATAACTCAGCTATTCCTCTGTGATTGTGTTATTGTTCGAATTTTAGAAAAAATTCTGAATTTTTTTTTTTTTTTTGGCTTTATTATGACCAAAGGTCATTGTCTGAACATGGATGAAAAGTCAAGAGGCTTGGGTTCTAACTCTGAGTGTGCTCCGGGCTGGGCCTGTGACTCTGTCTCCCCGCCAGGCCCCATCTGTAAAGAGGTGGGCGGTGGGCAGTCAGTGGGGCCAGCCCTTGGGGCCCGGAGGGATGCGATTCCGGTGGAAGCCTAATGCACTGCAACTCCCTTTCTCGGTTAGATATTCATCAACAACGAATGGCACGAGTCCAAGAGTGGAAAAAAGTTTGCCACGTACAACCCTTCAACTCTAGAACAAATATGCGAGGTAGAGGAAGGAGACAAGGTAGGTGTCCCCCACCCCACCCCCAGTAATTCAATTCCTGATACGTAAACGGCGAGGGAACGGTCAGCTTAGCTGTAAATCAGAGCAGGCCCGGGCTCAGACGCACGGCCCAGAACGGGGTCAGTTAGGGACCATCGGCGGCAGAGAGCCACTCACCTTTGGTGGCTGTCTGCCCGTCTCTAGGGATGACCTCAGCTGTTCTCATCGCGGGGGCCAGAGGAAAGGTTTTTATCACTTATTGGAACCTGGAGGCATGAAAGAATCTTTCCCGAGAGCACTTCTGGCTGGTGTGTTTCTCCAAATGCAGCATTCTGGCAGGAGATATGTTAAAAAACACACACAAAAACAAACGCAAAGAAAAAAGACTTGCTGACCAAGTCACACAGTGGCAATAATGGCACATAATTGCCAGATTTCTTTTCTACCAGAAACTTAAATGATACATATATTATATTATAATACATGTATTATAATACATGTATTATACTATATATATTATATTATATATTATAATACATGTATTATAACATAAGCTATATATATAATATCACTATATAATATAACGCATGTAGGTATATATTATAATATAAATCATGTTATATATTGTATATAACACTATAGAATGGAGCACATGTATATAAAGCTCAGGGGCTTCTGGATGTGGCCTTGATACATTTTAAAGCCACAAAGCATCTTGTATGTTTTGAATATAGATGCCACTGGGGGAAAGGTTGAAGGTGAAGTTGCTCTCAGGAGAGAAGGGAAATATAAACCTCTTTTCCACTCCTAGAGGCCCAACCACTGAGCCACACCGACCGGGCTCCCCTGGCTTTCGTTTTTTTTAAAGTCTGCAAAGACTCTTTTTTTTTTAAATATATCTCTATTGATTTCAGAGAGAGGAAAGGAGAGGGAGAGAGAGAGATAGAAACATCAATGATGAGAGAGTCATTGATCGAGTCCACAACCCGGGCCTGTGCCCTGACCGGGAATCGAACCCCGATCGCCTGGATCCTAGGTCAACGCTCAACCACTGAGCCACACCGGCCAGGCCCCCCTGGCTTTCTTAACAAGTGTCTGGGTCATGCTGCCCGCAGATGGGGTGAATGACACACATGTGAAATAGGCTTGAATTTGGTGCCACCAGCCACACTTGGGGGATCGGTGTGTCCTGCACTGTGGTTCCACCTTTGCAGACCCTCCGACGGCAGCACCTCGGGCAAAGCTCTGTCCGCAAAGATGCCGGGACCAAGGAGCTCCTAGGAAGATGTGAGGGTGGGGGGATGATGCTGAGGGGGATCCCCAGAGGGCGACCCAAACGTGTGGCACACAGGTGTCAGGGAGGGAATGAGACCCCTGCCCTGAGCTCTGCTTCTCCCCCTGTCCGAGCAACTGCACTGAGCCCCTGGAAGCAGAGGCGCCCCTGTCCCCTGCAGCTGAGGGGGCCCTGCCTCGACCCCAGAGCCTGCGACAAGCAATTCGCAGTCCTGTTACCCATCTCCCTTTCCAAAGCCCCCACTCACCCCCGAGCACGCTCTGGGAGTGCAGGTTGTTGGTGGAGCGCCTGTGTTGACGGCATCAGGCATCCACTGCCGATGCACCTCCCTGGGATGCTCCGAGGGGCCCGGGGGGGATGAGCCATTGCCCAACAGCAACCAGAGCCCCGAACCCCATCTTCCTGAAAATCGGAATGAGTGACATTACTCTAAACACCTGTCATTTCATACCTTTCAAGTAGAAGCTTCTATGGTAATTCTCTCAGTGCACACAAGGCCCAGGTCCTTGCCTATAAAATGGTCTGGCGGTCCCGCCCCGGTGGGTAAGTGAGGCCGAGGGAATAAAAGCTCCCGATCCCCCCCCAATCTGTGGACTTTTCCGAGGTGCTCGGGTCTGAGATCCCCGGAGGCCCTGAGGCCCGTTCCTGCTGCAGGACCGTGTGTCCAAACGGAGCGAGCAATCGGAAAATCCTTTCCCACCTGGGTCACCAAGAAAAACACGCACTGAGGCCTGTGGTTTTCAAATGCGTTTACAATCAGGAGGAATCTGGGAAAAGACGGAAGCTGTGGAAAGAAAAAAAGTCACCTGGAATCCCCCAGCCGTTGCGGGCCACCCCTCTTTGTCCTGCCCCGTGCTGGAGGCAGGGCTCTGCTGTTCTCCGTAGCTGTCCCCAACTGCGGTCTCATGGCAAGTGACGCGCTCTCTCTCGTTCTGGCCGCTCAGCCCGACGTGGACAAGGCCGTGGAGGCCGCCCAGGCCGCCTTCCGGAGGGGCTCCCCGTGGCGCAGGCTGGACGCCCTGAGCCGAGGCCGGCTGCTGCACCAGCTGGCAGACCTGGTGGAGAGGGACCGCGCCGTCCTGGCCGTGAGTACCCCCCCCGGGGGCCAGGCAGGGCCCTGTCCCCCGCGGGGCACGGAGGGAAAGACCCAGGGCCCTGGTTTTGCGTGATCGCGGGTCTCTTCAGTCCTTTGGGGGTCCGAGCTCAAAGTAGGCCGATTTTCACCCCCAACAGCTCAGCTTCTTGACCAAGAAGTTGCCTGGAGGGAGTTCAGCTTATCCAGCGGTTCCCAGACCTGGCATATCCCCAGGCGGCTGTCCGTTTAGGAACTTCATTTTATTTTCTTACATGAACTGTCTTTAAAACTTAAACTTAACCCCATCCTAGGTGACGGTATCCGTGGGATCACCGGTTTAATGCACCGGCTGTATTTTTTTCAATATTTAGTAAAACAAATGCCACCGCTTAACATAAAAATTGTTAACGTGTGACTTTAAAGATCATCTTTGCATCATTTTTTTTTAAATTATATGGTTTTATTGACTTTTTAGAGAGAGAGGAAGGGAGAGGGAGAGATAGAAACACTGATGAGAGAAACATTGATCCCCCGCCTCCTGCACGCCCCCTGCTGGGGATCAAGCCCACAACCCGAGCACGTGTCCTGACTGGGAATCTTGGTTCCAGAGACCTCTTGGTTCATGGGCCCCACCGGCCGGGCTTCTTTATATCACTCTTGAACTTGGCAGTAGTGAGCCTCTGAGGGGAGGAAAACCTGCTTATAAGAAACCTCAGAGCATGGAAGGCCTGGGTTCAAATCCCAGCTCTGCCACTTATTCGCTGTGTGATGTTGGACAAGTTGCTTGACCTCTCTGAGCATGGAAAATGTCACTAATAATGATAGCTAAGTGTTGTAAGACTCAGTTAAAGTCCTGACATGCAGGAAGCACCAACTAGGTGACAGCTATTACTAGTCACTGCCGTCTCCATAGTGATGCTGTCTGAAGACTCGGGTTCTAACTCCAGCTACATAACCTCCTGGCCAGTAATTTCTAGGTACTTTCATTCCTCTGCTGAAATGGGGATTTCACTCAGCCCCCTCCAGGAGGCCGGGCTGCTCCCCTGCGATGAGGCTGTGGAGACATTTATAAGGTGTAAGCCCCTCATTTAACAGGATCCTCAGACCTTCTTTTGGTCTCACGGTGAGTGATCAGAAGCAACCTCAGGGACACCTTGTGTCTCGAGGGCCTTTGCAAGCTGCGCATGAAGCCCTTGCGCAGCTCCGACTTCTGTTTAAAATTTGCAACAAGCCTCGCTTTCCTCCCTTCCTCGCCAGCCGGCCAGCGAGGCCGGTTAGGCCCAAACCCGAGGAGGGCAGCTCCCTCCCGGGGCCAGGCCGGCCTCGCTGTCCCTCTCCGAGGAGCCTCTGGCTTCTTCCTGCAACGAGAGCCAGCCTCGGCCCTAAGCTGCCAAACTGGCTTTTTCAAAAACATTTCTGTTTTCACCCGGCATGAGCTCATCCGTCTGCAATGTGTGTGTGGACTCAGAGCAGGGAAGGAGGTTGTGCCCCGGGCGCCCCTCCCCATCCTGTCCTCAAGCGTCAGTGTCATCGTAGGGAGCATGGGCCTCAGGGCCACCTTCACCCTCAGCCTCCCCTGTCGTCCGGCAGGACTGGGTTGTGACGGCAGCCGGGGCCTGTCACCTCTGCCATCGGGCCCTCGATGCCCATGGGAAGATAAGAGCCAGCTCCCTGCCACATCGTGAAAGGGGCAAGACACTTACTGGCAAATACTGTTTTAAAACCTGGACACGTCGTAGGAAAGGTTCCCCAGTCCTATTCCTTCGTTCTCTAGAATCTGAGCATTGCGATGGTCACTCTTAAAATGACCGGAGGGAGTCAACTTAGGAGCCACTGTGGGACTCACTCATGGTCCAGCCGCGGCAACTGGTTAAAAGTCCCAACCAGGAGCTGAGACGGGATTTCTCAGGTTTAGTCCTGTCTACTCACCTGCGGATCCTGTTAAATTTTTTAATATTTTTTAAATTTTAATTTACTGATTTAGAGAAAAAGAGAGAGGTTTGTCATTCCACTTATTTACGGATTCATTGGTTAACTCTTGCATGTGTCCTGACCCAGGATCGAACCCGCAACTTTGGCATATTGGGATGACGCTCTAACCAACTGAGCTACCCGGCCAGGGCCTTGTGGCTGTTGTTTTTTTTAATCCTCACTTGAGGATATTTTATCTATTGCTTTTTCAAAGAGAGTGGAAGGGAGGGAGAGAGGGGAGAGAAAGTGAGAGAGAAACATCGATTGGTTGCTTCCTGCACCTGCCCCAACTGGGGCTGGCGATCGAGCCTGCAACTGAGGTGCATGCCCTTGACCAAGAGTCGAACCCGGGACCCTTCAGTCCACAGGCCAATGCTGTAACCACTTAGCCCTAGCTAGGGCCTTTAAAAAAAAAAAAAAAATGTCTATCTAGAATTTTTATGACCCGGTTTTGCTTGGTCAGAGTCCATAAAAGTCAGCCACCTTGCCCAGGTTAATAATGAATATAGAGAAATAACCAATGCTTATGGGATGCTCACCACGTCCCAGGCTGCTTGTAAGCCCTTCACCTGTAGCCTTTATTACCCCATTTCAGAAGTGAGGACCCTGAGGCCCAGAGAGGTTAGGTAACCTGGCCAAGGTTACCCAGCCAGAGATCCCCTACAATCCCTCAGTCCCTTGCCTCTCTCTCCCAGAGAAGGGCCGGGATAAACTCCTGGTTCCGCCGACAGGTATACAGGTGCCGCCTGGAGCAGCCTGGCCCTGGACAACGTTTTTTGCAATATTGGCTTTCTCCTGGGAAAATACCAGTTCCAACTTGGAACATAAATTAATAGGGGCCATAGGGGCAATAGGCTGGGGGGTCACCTTGGCCTGACTTGGTCCCTGAGCAGCACCTGCAGGGAGTGGGACACGTCCCCCGCTCCAGCCCACCCTGTCATCTTCAGCAGCTCACGGTCCTGTGTCTCCGTGTCCCCAGGTGAGGCTGGCCGAGCACTTGCCTGGTCCCAAAAGAAATGATGGTTATAATCATCATGGTTATTACTGGGACATTGAACAGGGCACTTGCTGCGGGCAGGCACAGTCGATAGTACTTTACGGATATTAACTCCGCTGACCCTCCCACTGGCCCTATGCGGTAGGTACTGTTACTATTATGATTGTCAGTTTACAGATGAGGAAACTGAGGCAGGGAGGGATTCCGGGACTTGCCCACACTAGGAAAGCGGCTGCCTAGATTAGAGCAACCCAGCATCTCCCGTGGCCGTCCTACAATCTTTCCAGATACGGAGCAGTCACTGTGCCAGCTGGACGTCAGATGCCCCCCCAAGTTCAGCGCCGACCATGCCCCTGACCCGCTGCATGACCTTGGACGAGTCACGGGCTGCGTTGGCCTCGGCGTCTGCCCCTCCCAGTGAGGACAGAGCCGTCGGCTCAGAGGCGAGGCGGGGCGGACACGGGCCCACGGAGGGGCCTGTCGCCCTTTGTAACCGCCAGCTCTCTGCGTGGCCTCTCAAGCAGGAATCCAGCCCTGGGCTATGTGTCAGGGTGGCCACTTCCTGCGGAGACGCATGACGGGCAGTTTCAGCCCTGGGCTCAACTGGGGCTGCTTGTCTGAGGGACAAAGGGGCCCTCTGAGACCCGGGCTGGAAATAGAAAAGAATCCTCGCCATTGAGGAGCTGTGCGCGCGCCCTGGGGAACCGCCTCCCTCAGCACCCAGGGCGAGTCTGCGCCCTTCCCGGAGCATCCGGCTTTGCAGCCCGTCGGGGGGCCTTGTGTCTTTGTGCTGGTGGCGCATCAGTCACTCTTTCCGTGACACGCCGGTCAGCTGGGCCAAGGAGGAAGAGACCTTGACCTCCCTTTCTCTGGTGAGAGGAAGCCGGCCCTCTCTCCAGCCACCCTCACCTTCCGAGGGCCTCCCAGGAACCCCCAGGCCCACGTGGCCAGGTCTCCGGACAGAAGACCAAAATGCTAAAGTGAGGCTTCAGGTCGGCCTGGCAGCCACTGTCCTTTGTGGGGACACATGCCCATGCTCTGGCCAACCCCTCAGCTTTAGGTGTTTTGAAATAAAAGCATCCTGAGTGCCCTGGCCAGTGTGGCCCAGCTGGTTGAGCGCCCTTCCATGCGCCAGAGGGTCGCCGGTTCGATTCCCGGTCAGGGCACAGGCCTGTGCTATGAGCTCCGTCCCCAGCAGGGGGCGTGCAGGAGGCAGCCCGTCAACATTTCTCTCTCACATAAGTGTTTCTCTCTCTCTCCCTCTCCATTCCTCTCTCTAAAATCAATAACAATAAATTTAAAAAAAAAAAAAAAA